CCGAGGACCCCTGCTATTGAGCCGTCTAGGGAAGACTGGGACGTGCACTTCCCCGATGGTCCCTGCAGCCTCTGCCACTGCGATTCATCCCAAGGGGGTAGAAACAGACAGAGCTCCAGGATCAGCCACGTCCATGGTGCATGAGTGCACCTGGCTAAGACGCAATGAAGTAGGGTCACCGGACAGAGCCGGGAGGCACAGGAGGCGCCTCCGCCTGGCCTGTGAAACAAGGGCACTGGCCAGGTGCTTACTTTTCCGGTTGCCCAGCATGCTAGTAGTCAGAGTTTCACGCTCAGATAACCTTCCTCTCCCGTCTCTCCTTCCCTGTGTGCGCCCTCCTATACAGCACTCTTACTGAGGCCTCAGGAAACTGCTCCACAACCAAATGGTTCTGCAGTCCTGCAGCCCTGGCCCCCATCTGGCCTTCCCGAGACCCCTGCGCAGACTCTCCGTGCAAATGCGTTGGTGGTGCCTTCCATCCCTTGGTTCATGTAACACAGACATGATTGTTCTAAAGAAGCTTTGCTAAAACTGAAAGGCCAAGACCGGCCTGGTTGCCTTGTTTGTGTAGCTATTATTTATTTGCTTTCCTGTTTGTCTCACAGCACCAGCCTGTCCTTTCCAGTGTGCCGGCATCTGTGCCTGAGGCTGGTGCGGATTGCTAATGCGAGATCAGGGTGGGCGTGCTGTTACGGTGACCGCCCCAAGGCCCTTTCGTGAACCAAGTCCAGACCAGGCCTTCTGCGGGATCCCTGTCTGAGGAGTCCAGCCATCAGGGTTGGGGACATCCGCTCTCCGGTAGTAACAGCATCACATGGCTGAGCTTGGAAAGAGCGCAGCAACCAGAAGGCGGCCCATGACAGGCCGCGTCCCCTCACCGCCCACAAGGCTCGCCCTTCCCTGGGGCACTGCAGCGCCACCCGGTGGGAGGCAGCCTTGTACTTGCAGGCAGCCGCTTGAGCCCACTGAGTCACCCACTCAGTGTTCTTTAAATTTGGATCGATATTTTACTATAGCTGTTAACACATACTCATTGTACGAGTTAGAAGGCCGCACTCTGACATCACCGTGTCCGCGCAATACTGCTCTGTCGTGTGTAGAGGTGACGTGAAGGGCAGTCTTTCCACCCCTGGCCCCGGACGAATAGTCTGTCCTCACAGTCTGTCGTCTGAACACACTGGGGTCTCCACGGTGCAGTACGAAGGCCGCCGTTACCTGGTGACCTCGTCCCCAGGCAGACAAGGGGCCGTGCCCGAGGGTGCCAGCTCTTTTTCTCCTGCGTCCACAGGCCCGCGTCCTCCGTGGGTGAGCAGGGACGGGCAGGTGCCGTGTGGCTTCCCATAGTGGCCATCCTTGTGTACGGCCCTGTGCGCCCAACCTGGCAGGCTCTCGTGACCTGCTTGGTCAGGTATTTGTCCTGCCCATACATAACTGTAGGAGTGCATCTCACCCTGCCGGCCCCAGGACGGCCTGTGAGTCAGGGCCAGGCTTGGAATGCAGATCTCCCATCTGTCCGTCCGGATGTGCAGCGTCACAGCTTCTTTTGGTCCTGACTGGCCAGGGAGAAAGAAAGGAGGTCACCTGCAGCCGACTTCCTACATGGCCATTTATCTTTCCCAGCTCCATTTGAATTACCTACTGGGACCAAACTGGAAGGGTTTTTGGATACCAGCCACAGTACTAGATTGTGTTTTGTGGCTTTTTGTCCCTAAGAGACAGACAACGGGACCATGTGTGGCACAGAGCAGAGAGTGGGACTAACCCTAACTCAGATGCTCTGCCTCCGGCGTTCCTTGGCCATCAGACGTGTGCCACCCACATTTCCCAGAGGCTGTGGGGTCTGCTACAGTATGACCATGGCCAGTCCTCAATTCTGAGAGCACTGCCCGGCTCTCCCCAGCCCGGGTGCCCGAGCACACCCCCAAACAAGGCCAGAGCTGGGCATTTAGCTCAGTGGTTCTGCTGCCTACCTTGCAAGCACAAGCACCCGAGTTCGATTCCCAGTACCAAAAACAAAACAAAACAAAACAAGGCTAGAGAGCTGCTGGGCTGCTTTAGGGTGTGGTCTGAGAACAGACGTGCTTTTGGGTCGGGCCTCAGCATCCAGAGCCAGCAGGGGAGAAGCCGTGGCTTTTTAAAATGACTGAATCCTTCTCTTCATTCTCAGCCGGTCTTGACGTTCCCCGTCCCGTTAGAACTTTTCTTCCTTCCACACTCCGGCATTCCGGACTGCCTCGTCGGCTCTTCTCTGTGGCCACCCCTCCCCGACAGTGGAGCCTCCCTCTCCTTCCTGTTCTCCTCCTCACTGCTCCCGTTTTCCCATTGCCCTTTTGGCAGAACTGGCCCTAGGCATTTTCTGTATTTGTTTTCTCTGTTTCATTCTTTCATTCCCCCTCCCTCCCTCCCTTCTTTCTGTCCTTTCTTGAACTTGCAGTGATCCTCCTGCCTCAGCCTCCCAAGTGCTGGGCTCACAGGTGTGCTCCATCATGCCCTCCCTCCCTCCCTTCTTTCTGGCCTTTCTTTCTCCCTCTTTTTCTCCTTTCCCCTTCCCTCTTCCCTCTCTCCTCCTGCAGAGAATAGATAGATACAGGCCCCAGGGACCTCCTCTTCCAGCCAGGCCCCACCTTCTACCACCACCCCCCCCGTGGTGTCACGGGCTGGGACCAGGCCTTCAACACACGCATCTTGGGGGACATTCCGGCTCCAAACTGTGACACTCACCTCCATCAGGAAGGCCCTGCCCCTTCGCGTCTCCTGTGCCTCCACAGCCAGCCCTGTTGGTCCCGTTGTCTCCGTATCCTCTGCACTAGTGGGCACCTCCTAACCAGTGTCTTTCCTCTCTCACTCCCTTTCCCTCTCTTTATCTCTCTCCCTCTTTCTCCATTTTGTGTGGTGCTGGGGATTAAACCTCGGGTTGCACATCTGCCAGTCAAGCACTCTACCATGGAGCTATGTCCACAGCCCTATTTTTATTTTATTTTGAAACGGGGTCTTCCTGTGTTCTAGGCTGGCTGCAAATCTGTGTGACCTTCCTACCCTCCTGCCTCAGCCTCTGGAATAGCTGGGGTTATAGGCTGCACCACCACACCTGGCTCCCAACCAGTCCTTCTGCTCCTGCAGTGGCCCTCCACAGTCTGTACACCACACGGCCACAGCAGCCTTGTGCCAGGCATCTGACCAAGCTCTTCCCCCGTTTTCAACCCTCTGGCAGCTTCCTCTCAGGCTGGTGATGAGGTACCAAGTCCCGAGGGCCCGGGTGGCCGTGCTGGCCTCATCTGAGCTTCGGCTGTATCGGCCTCCTTACTGCTCCTGCCTCAGGACCTTTGCATCAGCTGTGCCTCTAAGTGGAAGCATACCCTTCCCCCGGCGCCTTGCCGGTCTTCTCTGCCCCAGTGGTATACCGGCCCACACCCTGCTTTCCTTGTTTTTATAGCACTTAGTCGCTCCCTCCCGCACTGTGATACATTTACTCGCCCTTGGTCTGCACTGGCTGACTGAGATTCACAAGGGCGAGAACATGCAGAGTCTGTGTAGGGGCAGTGGACTCCAGCACATGCAGGAGGCGCTCAGTGATAGTTGCTGTGCTGTGTCGTTGCCCTTCAAGGGCTGAGCCACCTTCTGGGCACTGTGGAACTGAGCTTCAAGCAGGCGGCCAGCCCGGCTTGGCACGACTGTGCACCGCTTGCCACCCCTGCACAGCGTTCTAGGCCGGGGGTCAATGGCATTTCTGGAAAGAGCTGGATAGTGCCCAGGTTTGATGGCACACAGCCCAGCCCCAGCTCTCAGGAGGCGGGAGGACGGCTGTGCCGAGCCTGAGCTGCACAGTGCGACCCTGTCTCAAACAACGAGTCATACAGTGAATCTGTAGCCTCTGTAGGCTGCCTTGCGTAGTCTCTGCTGCATCTACTGAATTTGGCTATTATTGAAGCCAGCTACAGGTGGTACATAAACGGGTGTGTGCTAGTAAAAGGTTTTGCTGTGTTTGCTTTGTTAAGGCAGGGTGTTACCACGTGTGGCGAACGGTGGAGGACGTGACCACCCGAGCAGGCCGGTGGGAGGCAGAGAGGCACAGACCCACCGAGGACGTCAGCCGGCCATCGTGTCACACAGACCTGAGGCGGGGCTTTTATAGGGGTCAAGAGAGGGGCCGGTGCGGATGTGTAGTCGGAGTCCATGCAGTGGTCCAAGCAGGAAAGGTGTTGTTCTCCCCTTGGCGCTCCGTCCTATGTCTTATCTGATTGAAGACAGCGTGGCCTGTGTCAGGAGAAGAGAGCCCCGCACCACCTGCATCTGTTGTGAGCTGCGGTTTTGGCTGTAGCCTGGAATTAAGCAGCCTCTCTATTAACCATTTCATGACCAGAGCAACCCTGACATTATGTAGCCCAGGCTGGCCTTAAACTCACAGTAATCTTCCTGCCTCAGCCTCCCAAGTGCTGGGATCCGGTGTGTGCCATGACACGCGGCCAGTAAGACTCCTTATGAAATAGGAGGTGGGCCTGTTGTCAGGGCTGCTAACCCTTGCTTCAGATCCTTCTGAAGTTTTCTGCCTCTTCCCCCGATCTGCGGGGACAGAAAGGAAACCAGGACGGGTTGGCAGCCCAGAAGCAGGCGGAGGCCTCTCAGGAGTGGGGAGCCCTCCAGGGCAGCGAGTCCTGTTTTACTAAACAAGAGGCCCCTCGGTCCCGGGGAAGCCAGCTCAGGCGGAGGGCAGCGGGTCCTGGGCTGATTTTCTCAGAACCAGCTGGGTGCTCTCCTCCTCTGTCTCCAGGAAGCAGAGCTGCGGCAGACACAGAGCTCACGCCTCCGTGGGCCTTGTGGTTCTGATGGGAGAGCGGGCACTGCGTTTTTATTGCTGTTGTTTTGTTTTTGGTACCGGGGATCAAACTCGGGACTTTGCACTTGTGAGGCAGGCAGCAGTGCCACTGGGCTACATCCCCCAGCCCCGGCACTGCGTTTTTACGGCTACAACACCCGGCTTCTCCTGAGACACGTCAGAAAGGATGTACCACTGTCTGGCATTTTCTATGCATTATTCATTCAGGAATCGTAAAGCCAGGTTTGATAAACGGGCTCAGCTACTTTCTAGCCCTGTGACCTACTTCCTGGGGTTGCTGTGGCAACTCAATGAAGTACTGTTTCTGGCCTCCGTCATCATCCTCGTCTTCGGAGGCATCGCAGCTGCTGACGCGTCCTGTTTCCAGAGTGTCACGTACTTTATCAGTACGGTGTGACTTACCCGAGCTCTCGGGACAAGAGCCTCTCGAGGGACAGTACTGTCACGAAGCCCGCGTCCCAAAGACAGAAGACGATTTAGAGGTTGAGTGCCTTGTCCGCGGCCACACGGTGACCGAGCAGCACAGCCCACGTTCAGACACGTCGCGGGGCCCCAGGGTCCGCCCCTCCTAGTGCGCGTCGTGAGCGCTCCGTGATGTGATGACGCTCTGAGGGGCCGGTGCGGCTGCGGAATGTGGCTGTGACTCGCGCCGGCTGCCTGGGCCGTGTCGGTGCCGGTCCTGCGCGTCTGCGGGTGGGGTCTCGGTCACGTGCTGCCTGCTCTCCTCTGCTGCTCGTCCTCAGGGCCTGCTGTTCTTGCTCAGGAAGCGGCTGCGCCCCCTCTGTAGCTCGGGGAAGGTTCCTCCGCTGTCTGTTGGCGTAGCTCCATGAGCCCTTGCTTCCCCGACTCGCCCACGTCCTTTTCCTTCTTCCTGCTCCTTTCAAGGTCCGTGCTGTTGGCAGCATCTACCAGGATCTTCTGGGATGATGGGCGGTGGTGACCGACCTGGTTCTGTAAAGCCCAGGAGTAGGCTTTTGAGCCACCTGCCGGCCGACAGAGTATTAGTTCCTGAGAGCAAAGTGGGCCGTGTCTTTGCTCCTGAATTTATGTTTAGCCAATTGCTTGTGGCGGCATCAGTTTGACCAAGAACGGTTCCTTATTGCTCCTGTGTCTGCCAGTGTCTGCGGAGCGCTTGCTGGTTAGCAGACCTGCTTTTCGTGCTTTCTGTCCCTCAGTGCCCTAAAGCAGCAGCATCCAGGAGAACGTGCTTCGGGGGTGGAAATGCTCGAGGCTGCACTGATAAGTAGCCATCTGCCAGTGTGGCTGTTGAGCGTTTGTAAGGTGGCCAGTAAAACCGCAGCTGACTTGTTCATTTGATTTCGTCTTAAATGGCCACTTACGGGGAGAGACTACTTACTACACGGTCAGCTTATATCTAAAAAGTCCTTTAAAAAATCAATTAAAAGACCTTTTAACTTGAGCGATAGACAGGTGACAAAAGATGAGAGTCAGAGGGTTTGGTAATTTCCCAGTCAGTGTTTCTAAGCTGCACTGGGACCCAGGCTTCTGCCTCCTGAGCCTTCTCCTCACCATCATGGTTGTACTCTTTGTATTGTGCTTTTTGCAGAAGATGTTTTGTGCTTGCAGTTTGCTCCCTAACTCCCAGTACCATGTGTAGATATGCAACCTATCTTAAAGTTAAGGTGCAAGATACACACACACACCAAAGGATATAAAAGAAATCTTGAATAAATGAAGGAGGACCCATTTGTAATCAGCCTGAGTTATAACAAATCCAAAAGAGAACTTTTTTTTTTTTTTTTAATGGTATTGGGGGGTCCTTGCACTTGAGAGGCAGGCTGCACAAAAGAGAACTCTAATGATATTTAATTCTAAAAGAATAGACTAGAATAGCCGGGTGTGGTGGCACATGCCTGTAATCCCAGCACTCAGGAGGCTGAGGCAGGAGGATCACTGCAAGTTTGAGACCGGCCTGGGCTACATAGTGAGTTCCAGGTCAGTCTCAACTACATAGTGAACCCTGTCTCAAATAACCCCCCCCAAAAAAATTAAATTAAATTTGCAAAAATAATACATAAATTAAAAGAATAGATTAGAATGATTGAAACAGTTTTTGCAAAAGAATATTGGGTGGGGGACAGGGGGCGATGCTCCAGATGAGGTGAATTTAAGAATCAGGCACTGGGACAGGAATAGACAATAGAACAGCAACATTAAATCGTCCAGAAAGAGTCAAATCAAACCATATATCAGTAGAAGTGAGGCTGAGCCACTAGTAGATAAAAGGAAACCAGTTATCCATCCAGAAAGAAAGAAAGCTGTGTGCTAGCTTCCCATCAGTATAAACATGTACACATAAACACTGGCTGGGGTGGCTGAGAGGTGGACCCGCCCGTGACATGCAAGGCCCCAGGCTCAGTCTCCCCCACACACACTTACACATGTGTGTGTGTGTGTGTGTGTGGGTATGTTTTGTAATGGAATGGGAAATGCAGGAAACTATAAAGAATGACAGACTTGACCGCAAAAACTTAAACATTTCTCAATAGGGAAAAAATCAACATGTTCAAGATATAAAGGTCATTGGCACTGGGGAGGTAATTATACAATGCAGTAAACTGGGTTTAATTTAAACAAAGAGCTGCAACAAATCAATAAGAAAAAGGCAAGTCTCTTATTGGGCATGTTATTTATAAGCAGCTCATAAAAAAAATGGTTAATGAGTATGTTTACCTATGATTTTAACCAGAGAAACAACTTAAAATAATTAGGTACTTAAAAAAAATATTAGCTGAGAAGATCCTAATAAGATTACTGACATTGAGAAATGGGAAGAAAGGAGCTAAAGGTGTAGGGAAGATGGGACGGGTAGGGGAAGGGTAAAAAGGGAAAAGGAAAAAATGTGAGATAGTGAAAAGATGGAAATAAAGTGTTTGTAGATGGGGAGGGGAGGAGGGGGTGAAGGGAGGGCAGGGACAAGGGGAAAAAATGAGAACCAAGACCTGTCACGTAGAGGGACAAGATCCCAACAATGAATGCAACTGTACTGTATCCCTAAAATGTACCAATAAACTCAATTAAAGCTGAAAAAAAAATATTAGGTGATGTTTTTCACCAGTTGGGCTGGAAAAAAAATTAGACTAGTTATATCCAGTGCTGGCCAGTGAGAGGGCAGTATAAATGTATCCATCGTTCTGGAAAGGCAGAAGGCAGGACCCCGGCAATGGTAAATGTGTAGGTCCCTTAGCAGCAGCTCTAATGGTTGGTTTTGTTTGGAGCCAGGATCCAGTCATGTAGTCTGGGCTGGCCTTGAGCTTGTACTCCTGGCCGGGGTGTAGCCCAGGGGCGCCGGTACCCACGGTTCCGAAACGCACTACTCACAAAGGGGGAAGAGAAGAGTGCGCTGCTGCCTGGGCCCAGAAGCTCCGCTTTTTCTTTTCGCTGGGAATTGAACCTAGGGCTTTCATACTGAACTACACCCCCAGCGCTTTTTAATTTCTTGTTGTGAGACAGCTTCTCACTAAGTTGCCCGGTGGGGGCTCGGCTCCGCCATCCTGCTGCCTCATTCCTCTAGAAGGCTGGGGTGGCGGAGGGCACCGCCGCGCCTGGTCTCAGCAGCTTACCGCGCAGCGGCACACACACAGGGCAGCTCAGACTTTGTTGCAGGGTTTTTTTGTTTTTCTTTTTTCTCATTGAGTTTAACTACACAGCACAGTTCCATTCATCGTTGGAGCCTTGTGCCTTTACGTGCCAGGTCTTGGTTCTCATTCTTTCCCCATCCCCTGCCACCCTTCACCCCTCCACCCTCCCCTATTTACAAAGACTTTGTTTCCATGTTTTCCTTTTCTCATATTTTTTCTTTTCCCTTCTTTCCTTTCTCCTCCCCTTCCCACTTCCCCTACACCTTTAGCCCTTTTCTTCCTATTTCACATTGTCAGTTACATAATTTGGATCTTACTTACACTTTCAGTTTTTCACACCACAGAAACTTTGGTATTTACACGTGTGTCTTACTTATTTCATTTAAGAGTATGATCTCAATATGCATCCATTTTCCTATGAATGACTCTAGTTTCTCATTCTTTATGGCTGAGTAGTATTCCATTTCATAGAAAAACACAACTTCTTTATCCAGTCTCCAATTGATGGGCAAACGGGCTGTTTCCAAGTCTTAGCTATTACAAACTGTGCCACTATAAACATGGGTGCACATATATCACTGTGGTAGGATTCTTTTAATTCTTTTGGGAAGAGAACCAGCAGAGGGATGGCTGGGTCAAATGGGATCTCTAATCCTAGTTCTTGAGGTAGCTCCATATTGATTTTCACAGTGGTTGCACCAGTCTGCACTCCCACCAACAATGGAGAAGGGTTCCTTTCCCCCCCAGCAACCCCGCCAACATTTGTTATTGATTGATTTCTTGATGGCAGCCATTCTTTGTGGGGTGAGTTGGAATCTCAGTGTTGTTTTCATCTGCATCTCTAGAATGACCAGTGATGTTGAACATTTTTTCATATGTTTATTTGTTGCTTTTTTTCTTTTTTTTTTTTTTGAGACAGGATCTCACTATGTTGTTGAGACTGACCTGGAACTCACTATGTAGCCCAGGCTGGTCTCGAACTCACAGCAATCCTCCTGCCTCAGCCTCCCGAGTGCTGGGATTACAGGCGTGCGCCACCACACCCGATGACATGAAATGTCTGTTCATTTCAGATGCCCATTTTTGAATTGGGTTTTTGCATGGGAGGGTCTGATTTTTTGTCGTTCTTTATATAGTCTAGATAATAGTCCTTTGTCTGAAGAGCAGCTGGTAAACATTTTTTCCCACATTGTAGACTGTCTCTTAGCTCTGTTGGTGGTTTCTCTTGTAGTACAGAAGCTTTTTAAGAAAGTGAGATCCCAGTTGTTGATTCCTCTGCTAGTTCCTGTGCTACTAAGGATTTGTTCATAAAGTCTTTTCCTATGCTAATGTCTCTGAGAGTTCTGCCTAATCTATCTCCAGCAAGTTTAGTGTTTCTGTTTTAATATTTAGATCTTTAACCCACGTGGATTTTGGTTTAGTGCATGGTGAAAGATAAGGGTCTGGTTTTAATGTTTGGCAGTTGAGATCCAGTTTTCCAGCCCATTTATTAAAGAGGCTGTCTTTCCTCCAGTGAGGGTGGTTGGCTCCTTTCTCAAGAATGAGGTAGCGGAGTACAGCTGCAGTCATTCTGGGTGTTGCAGGCTTTTGGTGCATGACATCAAGGATGAGAGACCATGCCCATGTGGGGCGGGAGTTGGGCTGGGGGTAAGGCTCGGCAGTAGAGCAATCCTCCGCCCTCAGAAAGACAAAACAACAGCAAAAATCATTCAGGTATGGTACATCACGTTTTTAATACAATGCAACTATGAAAAATGAATATAGTGATCTGTGTGTAATCATACGGAAATACATGTGATGTATCTTCAAGTCAAAGCAGTATTCAGAACAGTGAGCATATCCTGATCTTACTTTACTTTTTTATCTTATTTCTTTGGCTCTGAGCCTGCGGGAGAGTGAGGGGATTCCCGCACTCAACCGGTTGGCCCTGGGAGCGGGGGAGCCAAAAGTCCTCATGCTCTCTAACTCATAACTTCACATTGGCTGCATTTTTACAATAAACAGACTTTTTCGGCATGACTTTTTAAAAACTGTCGTGTCCTGAGAAAGGAATCTGAATTCCTGCCTTGGGTCTATCTTTAGCAGAAAGTCACGTTGAGGGGTTTAATCTCTTCTTGCCTTAGCCGCCTTCTCTGTTTGTAATATATACACACATCCATGCACACATGTTTTCCTGTTTCTCAGGTGCTGTGATGACTGTGGCTACTTTTATAATAGAAATGAATACATAAGCCTTCATTTGCTTTTTTCGTTTTGTTCATTAGTTTGTTTTGCAGTACAGGAGATCGACGTGCAGGGCTAAGCATCTGCTCCATTGAGCTCTGGTTTCCAGGCTTGTGATGCTTTTTATATGAGGAAGTTATGCTATTATCTGTAAGGAGCCTTTTACCTTTTCTGTGTATCTAAGAGCTCTGATCTCAGATTTTGAAAATTAAAAAAAAAAAAACAGGCGTCTCTGCCCCTGCTTCTAGAAAGGACTTGAGAACACATTTGTCCCAAGAGCTTAAACCCAGATTCAGGGATCTGTACTCTCTTCTAAAAATAAAAAAAAAAACAGGCGTCTCTGCCCCTGCTTCTAGAAAGGACTTGAGAACACATTTGTCCCAAGAGCTTAAACCCAGATTCAGGGATCTGTACTCTCTTCTTCTGTTCTTGCGCCTGTCAGCCACTGGACAGTGAGTCAAACAGGATATGCTAACAAGAACTGGCCAGACTTTTCCCCCAGAGCCTTGCTTGGCTGCAGGAGCTCAGTCCCAGTCCCCTAGCTATGCAGATCAGCTGTTCTCGCTTGGTGGGCCTGCTGCATGCTGGGGACCGTCCCCCCTGCTGTCCAGATCTCTGTGTAGCAGTCCGTTCTAGGAAGTGTCCTTGGTGCAGGGCCTCACAGGAGCCTGGCACCCAGAGTCACACTCAGCCTTGCCAGTGTCCTCGGGCACATCTAGTGCCCATGTCAGCCCCAGCCAGCAAGGTCATGGGAGCAGCCCCATCAGCCCTTACTGTGTGCAGAGGGCAGCCCCAAGCAGGGCCAGCGTGTTGTAACTCTGTGCCTGTGATTTAAATAGGTGGCCCTGTCTGTGGCGGCCCTGGAGTTGTGCATCACCAGAGTGCTCCTGCGGGCCTTTGGCGATGAGGCTGGGAGGAGGCGACCTTTGCCCCCTGGAGCCCCAGGGCAGGTTGAGGGGACTCTGTTGGTCATTATGGATGCATCATTCCCTGATGGTTTTCTCAGCCCCCTTTAATTCCAGACATCTGCAGCCTTCTTCTTTATCCCTTTATTTCTCTCTTCCAGCTGCAGAGCTATTTTGCTGCATGTGAGGATGAGACCCCCGCCATCCGGAACCACGACAAGGTCCTGCAGCGCCTGTGTGAGCACCTGGACCATGCGCTGCTGTATGGGTAGGTGAGGGAGTTCCAAGTTAGCCCAGTAACCTCCCCGGCAGGACGGAGTGACTGGGGAGAGACGGGCTGAGGGTGCACTGGGTGCCCGGGGAACCTGTCGCCTGCCGCTTGCTGTAGTTGCCCCACCCAGGCCCCAGCACCGTTGTCCTGTCCCCCCAGACTACAGGACCTGTCCTCTGGCTACTGGATACTCGTGGTGCATTTCACCCGCCGAGAGGCCATCAAGCAGATTGAGGTGTTGCAGCACGTGGCCACCAACCTGGGACGCAGTGCGTTGTGGCAGAGGGACACGGGGTGGGGACCACCAGGCCCGCACTCTAGGAGGCTCACTGCTTTGTGAGATGCAGTAGCAGTAGAGCTAAAAGGCCAGCACCCTACACGAGGTCTCTTTTCCCCTGTGTGTGAGTCTGTGGATGTGTCAGTAATGGGGTGAAAGGCATTCCACGGAGGACAGAATTCCTCACACCCCGGACGGGCTCACAGGAGGAGCCCGTTTCTCTCCAGATCAGGGCCCAGGTTAGCCCACAGGCCAGAGCCGTGTGCCTGCCAGTCTCGGCCCGTGTGAAGCCACCTGCCCTCTTCGTCTGGTCTCACTTTCCTTTCTGCCCTTGCTTGGCAAAAAAAGCTACACCCTGACAGACCTTCTTTGACTTACTCCTGCCTCCGTTTGTAGGCCGGGCCTGGCTCTACCTGGCCCTCAACGAGAACTCACTGGAGAGCTACCTGAGGCTGTTCCAGGAGAACCTGGGGCTGCTGCAGAAGTACTATGTCAGGTGAGCGTCTGCAGTGCTCTCTCACCTGGCCTGTGGCTTCCGCGGCAGGTGAAGCCCATAGCCTGCCAGTGGAGGCCTAGCCCAGCATCCCGTGCGGAGGGTGCCGCAGTAATGGCCGGACAGCCGTGGGAAGCCTGCTGGCAGTGTGGGGCTTCCTCCGGGACTGCTGAGCTCCTGGGCTCCTTGTGCAGTTTCAGACGCCACCTCTGCCTGATCCCCCGCCCGGGCCTCAGATTAACCGTGTGTTCTAGCTTGGCCCCGGCCTTTGCCAGGGTTGCTATGGGGCAGAGTATTTATAGCGGCCGCTGAGCGCCTGCTGTGCCTCATGCTGCAGGCCCTTCTCGGGAGCCCCTGGCAAGCGAGGGAAGTGTGGAGAACCGGGAAGGGGAGGCGTGGGGACGGCGTCACACTGGGTGCCGTCCAGGCTCAGCACTCTTGGCTCCATCAAGGTTGGGTCCAGCTGGTAACCAGACCCAGAAGCACCATGGGCGTTTCTCGTGCCTTGCAGGAACGCCCTGGTCTGCAGCCACGATCACCTGACCCTCTTCCTGACCTTGGTGTCTGGGCTGGAGTTCATTCGCTTCGACCTGGAGCTGGTGAGGCGCCCTCCTCCGGGAGGGACCGGGCGGGCGGGGGACAGGAGCTTCATCTCCCCAGTCCTTCGGGGAGATTGCTGGGCACGGTGAGCTTGAGCAGTGCCCCCTTGTTCAAGGGAGGGAAAGCTTTCGAGTCCGTGGAATTGAGTGGAGGGGAGGGCTTCTCTCTCGGGGCCGACTGGTCGCAAGGAGTCCTGGGTGGGTCAGGTAACTCCTTTCTATTTCCGATTTGGAGAAAAGCCGCGCTGCCTGAAGTATCTCATCCCGGAAGGGTTTGCCGCGATGTTTAGGACACGAGTGTGTGAGAGGAACAGTGTGAGCTTACCCTGTGTCTCCTAGAGTTCTGGCAGCCGGCACCGGACCCTGCTTCCTGCCCAGCGCACTCCTGCTGTCCTCTGTGGGCCCCCTGCCTCCCTGTACTCCATGGACTGTGCAGTCCTGCTGTCTTACCCGTGGGCACGTGTTCTGAGGCCCATGACTGCCTAAAACCGCGGAGAGTTCCAAACCCCGTCCACACCACGTTTCTTCCTGTTCTTATAAAGTTAATTCATAAATCAGGCGCTCTAGAAGATGATAAGCATAGCTAATAGTAAAATAGAAAACTGTAGCAGTCTGCCGGGCGTGGTGGTGCACGCCTGTCATCCCAGCCCTCAGGAGGCTGAGGCAGGGGGATCGCTGAGAGTTTGAGACCAGCCTGGGCTACATAGTGAGTTCCAGAGCAGTCCAGACTACATAGTCTCAAAAAAACCCAAAAACAAACAAAACAAAAATTGTAGCCATATGTTATTTAAAACTTAGGAATTTTCTGTTGTTATGAATTGTTTATCTCTGGAAGTTGGCACCTAATACTTTTGGACTGTGGGTAACTGAAACCACAGAAAGTGAGACCGAGGACAAAGGGAGACTTCGTGCAGGTGAAGTGCTGGCCCTGGGCTGCAAAGCACTTCCCGAGCTCAGGGCCCCTAAGATGAATGTGCTGCCCTATCTTTGCGGGGGGCACTGGGGATCAAACTCAGGGCCCTGCACTTGTGAGGCAGATGCATGGTACCCTGAGCCACATCCCCTGTCCTTCCCTGTCTCGACCAAACTGCCTTCCTGGTCCCTGTCCCAAAGCACATCTGAAAAAAGAAACAGCAGCAGAATGTGAAGAAAATGAGCAATTTTAATAGTAAAAAGGATCGAGGAAGCATCAGAGGGCACTTGTGGGTTTTGACAGCTCTTCCTCTGTATGTGCGTGCTCACCTGCGGCAGTGGTGGGGGCTGGAACTCAGGGCCCTGCGCATACTAGGCAGCACTGTGCCCCTGATTGCCCTTTTCCCTGTCAGCCGGAGTGCATAGCTGTACAAGCTAGAACAGTTCACCACACTGTCTTCAGCAGCCTGCCTCTAAATTTCCTGCATTAACCCCCTGAATCCCAAAGAAAAAGAGCAGGGGAGAACATGACAGATCTGCGTCTCCAATCCTGGATTCTGCTGTGAGGCCCCTCCAAACGCCCCTCTCTCACTCTCTCCAGGATGCCCCTTATTTGGACCTGGCCCCTTACATGCCCGACTACTACAAACCTCAGAACCTGCTGGACTTTGAAGACCGCCTCCCTAGCTCAGTCCATGGCTCAGACAGCCTGTCCCTTAACTCCTTCAACTCTGTCACCTCCACCAACCTGGAATGGGATGACAGTGCCATTGCCCCATCTAGTGAGGGTAAGTGGCCCCTGGTGGGAACGAGCTGCACTCCTGCCCTGGTGTGGACTTTGGAACTGTCTGGACCTGGCTGGTGGTGTCTCCCTGGCAACTGTGACCTGGTGGTTAGACTGCAGTTGAACAGCGCTGGCTGTTTCCCAAGTCTAGATTTCCTCAGAGTCCCTGTGGTGGCAAAAAAAAAAAAAAAAGAATTCCACGCCCAAAAAGCCAAAATAAGATTTTATGAAGTTTAGACACTTTTCCTGAAAGTTCTAGTCACACACCCAAGGACACTTTTCTGAGCAAAAAGAAATTAGCAGCAGTGGCCTGGAAACTTGCCTGGCACTGTAGGCTGAGTGTTGCCTGCTCTGGGAAGGTTGTCTTCCCTGAGGCTGTAGACAGGAAGTGGCTGAGCAGCCCGTGAGGAGACAGAGCCGGGCGGGTTCGGAGCACAGGACACACTCGTGGTCTGTTGCTGTTCCTCACACACTTGCTGCAGTGTAGGGATGGTCGCACCATTGCCTCAGAGACCGAGGGAGAATCTAGGTCGCGTCTGATTCTGTGACTTAGCAGAACAGCCTGGTTATTCCTAAACCTCAGGCTTTGGTGTTCACATATAAAACTGGCCATTTCTCCCACTTCATCCCCATTGGATGCCGGTCACTTCAGTGAAGGGAAGGGGATCCGACCATAGGTTTGGTCCCGAGGCTCCCTGGACTTGCCTCAGAATCAAGACCTTGACCTTCCTCTTTCTTTCTGCTTGTGCCGTGGGTCATATGTCCCAGGAGGGGTCGGCTTCCCATTTGCTGTCACCAAAACTTCAGGGCTCATCCAAGCAGAAGATGGCAGCCCAGTTTCCTCGGGTCGGCCTCGTGGTCTGCCTTAGAAAAGTCAGGGGAGGGCCGGGGATTTGGCTCAGTGATTCTGCCGCCTGCCTCGCCAGCGCAAGGACCGAGTTTGATCCCTGGTACCAAAAAACAAACAAACAAGAAAAGTCAGGGGAACAGGCCTTGAAAAAGCAGCCAGCAGCCAGACGGCTCATGGTCTGTCTCTGGCTCCTTAAGCCCCTCATCTTAGCACTTGAGGTCATGCCGCGGGAGCTGTGAGGCAGGACCTCGTTACCCAGGGGCTCATCAGGAAGAGAGCTAAGGGGTAAAAAGAGGTTAGGTCCAAGGAAACCCAGGGTGCCCTCCTCCATAGCCAGGTTCTCGGTTTGGACGTGAATGGCCCCCAGAAATTTCCCGAAGTCAGACCCCGGGCCCAGTGCCTGAGCTGAGCAGCAAGGCTCCTAGGAAGTTCCCTGAGGTTGTTAGAGGAAATGCAGAAAATTCACATTTTCTTGTTTTCTCGTGTGTCTCCCAGCCGTTGCCTTCACCCTCCTCCCATTGCCTGTGTCTCTAATCTCCAGTTTTGTCCCTCGTTTTTATAGATTATGATTTTGGAGATGTGTTTCCGGCAGTGCCGTCTGTACCCAGCACAGACTGGGAAGGTGGGACCGAGTCCTCTGGGACCCTTTCTTCCTGTTTTGCAATGTTTCCATGCCAAGCTTGCTGCATGTTTCAGAACCAGCTCCTTATGATTTACAGTAATGCCCGTGATCATAATAACCCCGTCTGGCGCTCTAACAGATGGAATTCTGCAGCAGGAGAACTTGGCCTGTAGCTCTAGGTCAGTCCCTTCTCAGTGTCCCTAAGTCTCTACACGTGGGATCCAGGTCACCCTCCATGACTCTCATGCATGTTTATGGGGTACCAGTTAGCCTGACCGAGTGAGGGAGACTCATTCTGGAAAGCAGTTCCCTTAAACATGTCGGTTTCAAGCTCCAGATGAGCACCCAGCAGCAAGAGGGCTTGGATTCCTTCACTGTGGCAGTCCACTCCTAATGCTGCTTTCTCCGTTTTTTGTTTCATTTTGTTTTCTGAGCACGGGTCTCGCTGTGTCGCCCAGGCTGGGCTTGGACTCAAATCTTCCTGCCTCAGCCTTGTGAACACCCAGGTTAACAGGCACGATCCCACTGTACTCAGCCCACTCGGGTAATTTTTTTTTTTTTTTTTTTTTTTTTTTTTTTTTTTTTTTTTTGAGACAGGGTCTCACTATGTAGTTGAGACTGCCCTGGAATTCACTGTGCAGAATTGAACTCAGGACCTTGCGCTTTCCCTGACCCCCCCTCAGGTATTTTTTAAAAGAGATTGAGGTCAGTCCGGGGATTTAGCTCAGTGGATCTGCTGCCTGCCTCACAAGTGCAAGGTCCCAAGTTCAATCCCCGGTACCAAAAAAAAAAGAGAGAGAGAGAGATTGAGGTCTAAGTGAGGCATAGCTGAAACTTCATATAGGGAGATTCACTAAGAGGTTTTAAGGCAAATTAAAATAAAATCTGGGGCTGGAGATCTAGCTCAGTGGTTCCACCACCTGCCTTGCCAAGTGCAAGGACCTGAGTTCAATCCCCGGCACCAAATAAATAAGTTAATAAAATGAAATAAAATCTGTCAGACTTCTTCCCTGTTCTCTGGGCAGTACAGGGTTTCGGCGTTTTTCTGCTGTACCCCACTGCTGGATTTGTGTAAATTCATCAAGTGATTCCCCAGGTTGCTGTGATTATTCAAAGCACACGTATTTCTGACCAGGCAGATAGTTCCCCTTTAGATCTGAGGCCATCCAGATTCCCTTTCTTGAAGAGCCTCCTGCTTGGGGGTCATTTCCATCCTGGAGGGTGGCCCCATCCTGAGAACTAAGAGATGCATTGTCTGAGTAGTGGTGACAGGTGTCTTTTCCCAAGTGAGTCTGAAACAAGATCCAGCCCCAGGAAACCTAGATTATGTCACTTGGCCAAGAGAGCAGCATTACATTCTCGTAGTTTTAGTTACCTTAGCCTGGAGCCCAGAATTCCATCATAATGCCGTTGGCCCTCAGCCTGTCTTATAGCACATGTGCTGGGCGTTTGGGTTTTCCCTCTGATGCTAACAACTAACCCCGCCTTCCTGATGTGCCTGTTGTGGTCACTTGCCAAAAGGGGCCTCACCTTCCTTTACAACCTTCAGAGCTCCCCGAGGCCTGAGCACTAGCAGCCGGTTGGGTGCTTGCTTAGGCTAGGCCGTGGCCCAGGGCAGGGCGGTATTTCTCTCAGCCCTGACCTACTTTCCTAAGTTCCTGGGTACTGAAGCATTTCCCTGGCACGCCCTTGGCAGCTCACTTGGGGAGGCTCTGGAGGAAAAGCAGGAAGGATGGGGCGAGGGTGGCTGCTCCATGGTCTTTGGCTTTGTTCTAGAGCTGGGGGGCATCCCAGCCTGATGCCCTCGGCCTCTCGGGACCCCTCCCTAAGGAGCTGCAGGAGCTGAGGAGGAGCAGAAGTCTGGGAACAACTCAGGCTTTGAGGGACTCTGGAGTCACAAGGCAGGGTTTTGTGCCTCAGAGAACGAGGCAATCTGAACTCTCACAGGTCGCTCCTGGCGGAGCTGGCAGTTAGGTCTCCCTTGTCCTCGTATCAGAAGGCATGTGCTTTTAAAAACGAGGTGATGGCTGTATGAGCAGGCAGCTGCCCGGTGGTTGGCCCGTGGGGCTGGGAGAAGTACATTTCCGCTGCTTCCGGGAGGTAACGGCTAGCGAGGTGGACACACTGGCAGGTGGAGCAGGGCAGCCTGTGTCCACGCTTAACCTTCGCCCAGGCTGGTGGGTCGGGGCCTCCTTCCTCTGCTTGGACAGGTCCTGCCTGCCACTGACACAGGGCCCTTTCTGTTCTGGGTACTTGGGTGAGTGGGGGGTCGGACCAGCTCTCCTGCAGAGACAGCAACGTCGTCCCCTCCCGAGGCCCGGCCATGGGTGACGTTGTGACAGACAGGTTTGCATGAAATGGAGGGCATCTGGTCCTGACCCCAAGAGCAGATACTGGGGAAGAACCACATCCTCCGAGGGTGCAAGTCGTCTGGGGCAGCCCCTCCCACACTGCCTCTCTGCACCTCACTCTTGTCACCCCTGTCCTGTTGTTTCACCCCGTTCTGTCTCTGGCTCCTCTGTGCTTCCCCCAGGCCCTCCCCTCTGGTACCCATCCTACCCTCTCAGCCTCTGCCCCTCTTTTTCTCTGGTCTCTTCCTCTACTCTTGCTTCCTTTCTGTTGCCTTTTGTGTGCAAGGGATCCTTCAGAGAACTTGGGGTACTGCTCAGCCCTGCTCGTGGGAACAGTGCTGCAGGAGCTGCTTGGACCCCCATCCTCTGACAGTAGGGCTCCAGGGCTCACCATTAACCTAGAAGCCGTGTGCCTGTGTCCTCTTCATTGCTCCCAGCCACCCTGGAGGTGCCAGGGTCGCCTGCCTAAGGGCCTGACCATGGGCTCTTACCATTAACCTGGCCAAATGGTGGGCTCGGGTGGGCTCCCAGGGCAGTAGAGGCAGAGCCGCCCCAGGTTTCTCCTGGGCACAGATCTCTGTCCCATCAGGTTAGGGTCACCTTGGTCAGGCTTCCCTGGGGAGGCCTCACTCCCCCGAGACAAGCACACGGGGGACCCCGGCTGAGCCTGACAGGCTGCCTCCTGTCTCCTCGCTCCCGCAGATGGAGACCTCACAGACACTGTCAGCGGCCCTCGCTCCACTGCCTCGGACCTGACCAGCAGTAAGGCATCCACCAAGAGCCCCAGCCAGCGTCACAACCCCTTCAACGAGGAGCAGACCGAGACGGTGTCCTCCTCTGATACCACCCCGGTGCACACCACCTCCCGGGATGGGGAGTCCCAGGTCCTAGAGCCACCTGATGCCTGCACAGAGCTTGAGGTCATCAGGTCAGCAGGCAGGGCCAGGGAGAAGCTGGCCAGTGTGCTATGTCCCTGTGTCCCCTGCTGGCCTCACTGTTTAGTCCAGGGGTTGCCTGGAGGGCAGTGGGGCATCCTCCCGAGACGAAGAAGTAGGCCCTCCCCACCCTTACTCAGTTTGTGTTTGGACTTTTGTGGAGGGTGAGGATTGAATGCAGGGCCTTTGCACTGAGCTACATCCCCAGTCCTTTCTAAAAATTTTTTAAATTTTGAGACAGAGTCTTGCTAAGTTGCCCAGGCTGGTTTTACCTCCCAGGCAGGCACAGCCAGCTCAATTTTATCTGCTGAAGTCATGGACCTGCTCAATGGTTCCCCTGGCTACTGGCATCTGTGCATCTCACCTGCCTCTGCTGGCACCAGGGAGCTCTCAGAGCCTGGCCTTTCCCTCACGCTGCCCGGGACATAGTCTCTGGCGGTACCCTTGGAGAGCACATGCCCAAGGTCGCTCCCTCCCCAGCTGCTCCTTGGAATGGCCCTCAGCTGCTCACTGCTTCCCCGTCTCTGCTCCCTCAGGGTCACCAAGAAAAAGAAGACCGGCAAGAGGAAGAAGGTCAGACCAGGTGAGGAAGCGAGTCCTGTCCACCCACTCTGCAGCCAGCAGACGAGGGCCGGGCAAGGGGACGGCGACAGCCTGGTCAGCAGCCTCGGCCTCGGGCAGGATCCGCCGGATACCAGCGTGGCCTCCCCCGCAGCTGCCGAGAGCAGCGAGCACTCCGAGCTCGGCCAGGCGGGCCTGCTGATCCCTGAGATGAAGGACACCTCCATGGAGCGCCTGGGACAGCCCCTGAGAAAGGTCATCGACCAGCTCCACGGGCAGCTGGACCCCAGCACCTGGGGCTCCCAGGTCGAGCCCCCAGACCAGTCCTTTCGGACCAGCTCTCCCGGGGAGGCCCCGGAGAAACCAACACTTTGCGGCTTTAGTGAGGGGCTTCCAGCCGCCATGGACTTCTACCGCTTTACCGTCGAGAGTCCAAGCACTGTTACATCAGGTGGCGGCCACCATGACCTTGCAGGGTTTGGCCAACCGCTGCATGTTCCTGGTGGCCCTGCGACTGCTAGCCAAGAAGAAGAGGGAGGAGGAGGAGAGGGACAGACACCTGGGCTCCTAGAAGACGGGCCGAGGGCGGCTCAGGAGCTGGAGACCCAGGAAGAGGCCTCCCAGCCGCCCCTGGTCCTCGAGGGGCCTAGGTCCAAGCCCGAGCCGCAGACCCAGGAGACTCCCTGCCTGCTCAAGCAGGACCAGCCCAGCCCGTGTCTGAGTAGCGCGGAGGACTCCGGAGTGGATGAGGGCCAGGGAAGCCCTTCTGAAATGACCCACTCCTCGGAGTTCCGGTGAGCAGGCGTCCACCCTGACGCAGGGAGGGGACAGGGGCCTCCGACCTCCCAGAAAACCAAGCACAGCTCCCTGGAAACAGCCTGGGTGGGAAGAGGTGTGGTCTCGCTGCCACACACAACTCTTGTCCTCCCACACTGCCCCTCTCACAGGGTGGACAACAATCACCTCCTCCTGCTGATGATCCACGTGTTTCGGGAAAACGAGGAGCAGCTATACAAAGTAAGTTCCAGGAGCTCAGAAATCACGGAGACCAGGCAGGTGGGGTGGGTGGGAGGTGGGCCCGAGCGCCTGTGCTTCCCCCTCAGATGATCCGTACGAGCACCGGCCACATGGAGGGCAACCTGCAGCTGCTGTACGTGCTGCTCACGGACTGCTACGTCTACCTGCTCCGCAAAGGTGCCTGCCACGCCCCTGAGAGCAGGCTAGGGTTCCGAGCGCCTCTCCCCGGCCCTCTCTCCTGAGTGGGGTGAAGTGGTGTAAGCAGATCCCCGGGAAGGTGTGGCTAGCCGAGCCTGGGGTCCTGCCCCTCCATTGGCAGGCAGGAAGGGTCCTCCCTGTGAGGGACCAGGTCCTAGGAACGGGCCGGGGGAGGCAGTGGCCACGGCATAATAGGCTTTGGGGTCTCCTCTCTCAGGGGCCACAGAGAAGCCATACCTGGTGGAAGAGGCCGTTTCATACAGTGAACTTGACTATGTGTCGGTGAGTGCAGGCTCCGCAGTTGGTCACAGGACTTCCTGGGCCACCCACCCTCAGAGCGGCAGAGCAGGGCACGTCCCAGGGCTGGGCACAACCGAACTCGCAGAGAGGCCCTGGACATGTGCCGGGGACGGGCCCAGCGTGAAGACACCCCTTCCCGGGCCGTGTGGCTGACCACCTTCCCTAGGTCCTGCCGGCCCAGGCCTCGGGAGCCCAGTGACCCCAGGGCGTGGTCCCGCCTCTCTGCCCGGCAGTGGCCAAGCGCCGTGCGGTGTCTTCCGGCAGGTTGGCCTGGACCAGCAGACGGTGAAGCTGGTGTGCACCAACCGTAGGAAGCAGTTTCTGCTGGACACGGCAGATGTGGCCCTGGCTGAGTGAGTGTCAGCCCCGCCCTCGGCGGGACCCGAGAGCTGCCATCTGCCCTGTGTGCTCTGGCGGGGCGCGGGGGGCGGGACAAGGGGGCCACACGGACTGTCCCCGACACACCGGTCTGCGTCAGCTTCGTGGCGGGGGCTAGCGTGAGTTATCAGAGAGCCTGCTGCTGGATGGGAGGTGCCCTCGGACGCTTACGTACAAAGCTCACGTGACGAAGCCGGGGCCTGCCGGCCAGCACCCTACCCTTCACGTCAAGATCCAGGTCCCCCGGGCCATTAAGAAACAGGCGGGCCTCTTCTGGTCGCCATTTGCTGGCCAGAAGCTACACATGAGCGCTTTCAGTCAGGCCGCTCCGTCAAGTCACTGGCCCGTGCAGACAGCAGCTCTCAGGACGAACCCTGTCCTCAGGCCCCTGACAGCGGACCTCTCCCTGCGCAGGTTCTTCTTGGCCTCTCTGAAGTCAGCCATGATCAAAGGCTGTCGAGAACCACCCTACCCCAGCATCCTGACGGATGCCACCATGGAGAAGCTGGCCCTGGCCAAATTTGTAGCCCAGGAATCCAAATGTGAGGTGAGCAGCTAGGGAGACGCTGGGTGGGATCCAGACGGTCTCGGGTGGGGTCCTGTGGTACTGGGTTTACAGGATACAGACAGCAGTCTTAGTCACCCCCGGGAGGGTGGGTTACCCTCTGAGCACCTGCCGCCGCCGCCTGCCTGGCTCGGGCCTCACCGCTTTGTTCACCGTCCCCACCTGCAGGCGTCCGCTGTGACGGTGAACTTCTATGGGCTCGTGCACTGGGAGGACCCCACGGACGAGACCCTGGGCCCTGTGTCCTGCCCCTGCTCACCTCCTGAGGGTGCGATCACCAAAGAAGGTGTGCTGCACTACAAGGCGGGCACCTCCTACCTGGGCAAGGAGCACTGGAAGGCCTGCTTCGTGGTGCTCAGGTGGGCACCCAGCGACTGCCCAGGCTCAGCTGGCCCAGAGCAGAGAGGCTAGGGGAGGCCCCTTCCCCCGCTTCCAGCTTCGGGGTGAAGCCAGCCCCAGCGCTGTCCCCTTGATTCCTTCTTCAGTCTCCCTTGCACAGAAAACAGGGCCCCAGCCTCCTCTGCCTCTGGGGTTCATGGCTACGTCTGGGGGCTCTCTGGGGTCTGGACTCCGCCTGGTCCCACTTCCTGCCCAAGCCTCACCTGTGCATTGTGCCCTGCAGCAATGGGATTCTCTACCAGTATCCCGACCGCACTGATGTCACCCCGCTGCTCTCGGTGAACATGGGGTGAGTGTCCAGGAGGTGGGGGCCAGGCACTGCTGCCCGTGCTCCCTGTCCGTCCCTCATCCCTGCCCTCCCCACGTGGCAGTGGTGACTTAGGGCCCTGGTGTGATGAGCTGAGGCTGTGAGCAGCTCGGGGAGGAAGATGGAGGAGGGAGGCTGCTGCCTGGGGAGCACCGCGGGGAGGGCCCTGTCTGGCGGCTCCCACAGGAGGAGGCGTGGAGTAGGCACCGGTTCTGAGCCGCGAGCTAAGCTGGTCTGTCTCGCCCCTTGCCTGGCCGTGTTCTGGGGTTCGGAGGGATCCTGCAGTGACGGAGACCGAACGAGTTACGTGGGAAGGGTGCTGCCATGCGGGGCCACAGCCCCTGGGGTCCGGTCCGCCGTCCGTGGCTCTCCACATCCACGCGCCGCCCGCCCGCCCCTGAGCTCCCCTTTCACCCTCCTCCTCTGGCCCAGGGGGGAGCAGTGCGGTGGCTGCCGGAGATCCAACACCACGGATCGGCCCCACGCCTTCCAGGTCGTTCTGGCCGACCGGCCCTGCCTGGAGCTGAGCGCCGAGAGCGAGGCCGAGATGGCTGACTGGATGCAGCACCTCTGCCAGGCCGTGTCCAAAGGGGTGAGTGCCTCCCTCCCCAGCGTTCAGCTGCTGGAGCCCATCCAGAACCCCGGTCCATCCCAGACCCACACCGATCACAGGGCAGCCTCCAAGGACGTGGATGGGGGACCCCGGAGCTCGGGACCAGCGCGCCTTCCCCTCCCCACACTCCTGAGCAGGCAGAGCCCGCTGGGCCCCCCGGGCTCTGGCACAGACCCCTGCAGAACTCCCCTGCCGTGCCTCAGGTCGTCCCCCAGGGGCTCACCCCCAGCCCCTGCATCCCCTGCTGCCTGGTGCTCACCGCGGACCGCCTCTTCACCTGTCACGAGGACTGCCAGACCAGCTTCTTCCGCTCACTGGGCGCGGCCAGGCTGGCCGACATCAGCGCCGTCTCCGTGGAGCCGGGCAGGGAGTACTGCGTCCTGGTGAGCCGGGCAGGCTGCGGGCAGCAGAGGCCTTCGGGGGGAGGCCAGCTGCTCACCGGGGGCCTGCTCCCTAGGAGTTCTCCCAGGACGGCCCACAGCTCCCTGCCCCCTGGGTCATCTACCTGAGCTGCACTCCCGAACTGGACCGATTCCTATCTGCACTGAGCGCCGGGTGGAAAGCCATCTACCAGGTACCGACGGCCTGAGAGCCCCAGCTGCTCCCAGGACGTGTCCTGGCCTCAAGGGTCCTGGGGACAGCAATGTGCCCACAGTTTGGGACAGACATAGACACTTAGGGCTCTAGGGGTAAAGCGCTGCCTCCGTCTGTGGCAAAAACTGGAAACAGAGCCGGGAGATGCACTTCCTGACCTCCGCTCCCTTGAAGAGCATGAGAAGGCGCTTGTGTGGGCCTGGAGCGGCCTCCCCGGCCTGGAGGAAGGGTCTGGAGCTGCGGCTACCCTGCAGCTTGTGGCACAGAGGCTGCTCCAGGGAAGGCGTGGAGGGACGGGAGGCCGCGCCCAGGTCGGTCCCCGGAGTCCTGAGCCTGCAGCCCCCGCACCGCTGCCTGCCCCACACAGGTGGACCTGCCCCGGAAGGCGATCCATGAGGCCTCCAGCAGGCAGAAGTTCGAGGACGCCCTGAGCCTCATCCACAGCGCCTGGCAGCGGAGCGACAGCCTCTGCCGAGGCCGAGCCTCCCGGGACCCCTGGTGCTGAGGTGGAGATGGGCGGCGGGCTGACCTGATGCCCCTGCCAGCCCCACACGCATCCACAGCCCGCTGCTTCCTCAGGCGGCAGAACCACGAGTGAGGCTGGAGACGGGGACCCCGGCTCCCAGGGATCCTGCCTGACGGGTAGTGGCTCGCGGTGGCCAGCGCAGAGAGCCTGAGCCCTGTGGGCTCTGTAGACGCACGCTGCCTTCCCGGGCCCTACCATCTGTCCGAGATGGCGATCATAATGCATCTGAGGGGGAGCAAAGGGCCGGGGGGCGGGGCCTGGACAGAGGCTCAGGGCCTGCTGGGGTCCCGAGTGCCACTACTTTGTTCGTTTTGGAACACTCCTGGCTGTCTGCATGCCTCCTCCCTGCTGATCTTCCCCGTGTGCAGCTGCTTGCCGGGGCCCTGCATGCCCGCAGCCTGCCCTGCCTTTTCCTAACCCCGGAGAGCCGGCAGGAACGGGGGAGCGGAGGGGCAGGGCCAGGCAGAGGAGCAGCGCGCCCCCAGCCCGAGGCCCGCCTTGGCACCTCCTGACTGTCCGCTGCTGGCTGGAGCCGGGCCCTGCCGAGTGCTTTGTCAGAGCCCTCGGAGGAAGGGGTCAGTGGTTTGGGCTTTGTTTTTTAAATAAAAAGATACGTTACATTGCCGAGACTTGTGGCTGGTTCTTCGAGCAGGGTGGGGTGGAGGGTGGTAGGGCCTCCCGTTCTGCGAACGTCCGTGCACCGTCCCACCGTGCTACCTGGACCTGGACCTGGACCTGGAACTGGGTCAGCCTCAGCCTCAGGACAGCAGCCCTCGGAGGCTCTCAGCCTGACCTCCCCTCCCGCTGTGTCCCACGGCTGCGCTGGGGCAGGGGCGGTGGCAGCTGAGTCCTTATGACCATCACCGTTCTCCTCAGGGCCCTGACATTTGGGCGAATAGGGCTGGGGTGCCAGGAGCCAGAGACCCTTCTGAAGGAGGTGAGGAGCCCGCCGGGGGGCGTTCAGGAAGAAGCAATTCTTAAGGGTTCGCTGGTGCACCGTTCTGAGCGCTGTGATAGCTCCCTGTCCTGTCCTCCGCGGGTTAGGCCTCTGTCCAGTTTAGCCGTGCTCTCACCACCCGCACGTCGGGTTGACTGTGGTGCTGTCTCGTGCCTGTGTCCAGGTAACACTTGCCTCACTTAGTAACGGCCCCAAAACCCAGACTGGTGCTTTTTCTTCTCCTTTCTCCTTTCCCCCTTCACCCACTGCCCTTGCTAGGGATGGAAATGGAAGCCAAGGTCGCTCACACGCTGTGCAAGTGCTCTAGCATCCCCTGCCCCGAGTGCTCCTTTAAATGAACAGAGAAGGGAAGCCAGGGGCCACAGCCCGCACCTGTGACGCCAGCCCCGAGGGACACTAAAGAGGGTAAAGTTGAAGTCCCACCTGCAGGACTTAGGCCCCATCTCCAAATTTTAAAAAATAGGAGCCGGGGATTTAGCTCAGCGGTTCGGTGGCCTGCCTCGCAAGCACAAGGACCCGAGTTCAATCCCCGGTACCAAAAAATAAAAAAATAAAAATAAAAAGGGCTGGGGATGTAGCTCAGTGCAAAGGCCCTGGGTTTAAGCCCATACTATAAGGAGCAGAACGGTCACAGCAGGGCATAGCTGGGTTTGAGCCCCAGCACTGAAAGAAAAAAACAGAGTTCCCTGAGAAGGAAGGGAAAACAGCCCTGTGGCGGGGTTGGTGGCCCTGTGATGAGAACTCACATGGGCTTGGTGCTGTCTATGGTCTCGGGCATCCACTGGGGTCAGTGGGGTCGCTGCGTCGCCACTGTGTCAGTGAGCCGGCTCGGAGAGGAGGTGATTTCCCAGGGTCACGAGGGCTCCCAGGATTCCAAATATGTCCTGCAGCTCAGGGGAGAGTGCTGGCCTAGCGTGCATGAGGCCGTGGGTTCCATGGCACACGGGGGAGGTACGCCCAGGGATTTAGCTCAGTGGCAGCGCGCCTGCGTGGCAAGTGCAAGGTCCTGAGTTCGATCCCTGGTACCAAAAAAGGAAAAGGAAAAAAAAGGTGTTTTTTTTTTTTTTTTTTTTAACTCCGCAAGGCTCCAGGGTCCTTCTCTACTTTACCTTAAAGAAGACTGAGGCCAGAGAGTCAGCTTGGAGGAGCAGAGATAAGACTGCCCATCCAGCCCATGCCAGGGCCTTCCGGGACACTTGCCCCACGTCTAGGGCTCCCAGCCAGAGCAGGACAGGGCACACAGGAAACACAGAAAGACGCAGTCTCAGGAGAGGGAGCTGCCTCTGGGCCACCACCTTCTCCCTGCCCTTCCAGGCCCAAGTGACCTTTCTCCCAGATCCCAGGGTCCAGGCTGGGGGCCAGAGGCTTCAGGGATTGGTCAGGGCTGGAGGGGCGGGTCTGGCTCTACAGACCGTCTGCTGAGCCTAGCAGGTGCATTTCCGGGATAGAGCAGGGCTGCGGGGCAGCTACCACCTCCAGCCAGGACCTCTGTCTTCTAGACATGGGCCGGGGGTCCCTTGTTCTCTAGGACCCTGGCCCTCCAGGAGTACAGACAACCTAAACACTGCCAGTTTATGGCCGTGCCATGCCCGGGACTCAGGCACAGCCGGCCCCTGGCCCGGAGGCCATGGAGCCGGTTCCCCCGGAGTTGGACCTGGTGCTGGGTGCCTCGGCCTGCTGCCTGGCCTGTGTGCTCACCAACCCCCTGGAGGTGGTGAAGACGCGACTGCAGCTTCAGGGAGAGCTGCGGGCCCCGGGCACCTACCCTCGGCTCTACCGCGGCTTGGTAGCCTCGATGGCCACTGTGGCCCGTGCAGATGGCCTTCGGGGCCTGCAGAAGGGGCTGGCTGCCGGCCTCCTCTATCAGGGCCTCATGAACAGCGCCCGCTTCTACTGCTACAGCCTGGCGTGCCAAGCGGGCCTCAGCCAGCAACCAGGAGGCACTGTGGTTGCAGGCGCCGTGGCTGGGGCACTGGGAGCATTCGTGGGGAGCCCTGCTTACCTGGTGAGTGCAGTCCTCCTACCTCTACCACTCCTGGGCCAGCCCTGCCGGGGCTCCGGCTCCTAGGGCTCTGCAGCCTCGAGTGGGCGGGGCGGCCCGGGAACGGCCAGAGCAGAACCTGCCCTTTGGCCCGTGCTCTGAGGTCCCTGCCTCGCCAGTCGTGAGCCAGGGGCAAGGGCAGAGGGTGGCAAAAGTTGTACAGCGCAGAGCCTGGCTTGGTCGTGTTTCTTCCTGTGGCCCGGTGTAAATTGAGAGTCAAAGCTGCCTCCAAGGAAGGGCTTCCGTGTCCTAAATCTGGGCCCTGGGCCCCTGGGCCCACTCAATCCTCATGGGGTGGCAGAATCAAGCACAGAGGGGTGAGGGGCTGGCTGAGTTCCACCACGGTGCAAACCTAGGCCCTATGCCATGCTGCAGGGCTCAGGCGCACCGTGCCCTTGACACACCCAGCTCATCATCCCCGGGCTCTGTCCCTCCTGCTTTCCTAGGTCAAGACGCAGCTGCAGGCCCAGACGGTGGCTGCCATGGCTGTGGGCCACCAGCACCAGCACCAGGTAAGCAGCCCCTGCCCAGAGCTCTGCCTGGGCTGTGCCTCTGGGCTCCCGGGTTAGCAAGGGCACTCAGTGACCCGTGCCTTCTCCCCACAGAGCGTCCTCGGTGCCTTGGAGACCATCTGGCGGCAGCAGGGCCTGCTGGGCCTGTGGCGGGGTGTGGGAGGGGCGGTGCCCAGGGTCATGGTGGGCTCAGCTGCCCAGCTGGCCACCTTCGCCTCCGCCAAGGCCTGGGTACAGGAGCAACAGGTGAGGGGCTGAGCGACCACCCGCCTCCTACACGGGAAGTCCAGGGGACACATGGGACCCCTTAGAAAGTTGGAGCATTGGCTGTCATCAGAAAGGTGACCTACGGTCAGCAGCAAATTTTAAAGCTGAGAAGGAATCAGGGTGGTTAGCGGGTGGGGAATGGCTCGGGGAGTCTGGTCTGCTCCCTGACCCCAGCTCTTCCAGGCCCCCTGTGCTGGGGGTTGGGGAGGTCACCCCAGGGGTGGGAGGAGGGCGGCTGTAGGGTCAGCAGCCTATGCCATCCCCACAGTGGCTTCCCGAGGACAGCTGGCTGGTGGCCCTGGCAGGGGGCATGGTCAGCAGTGTGGCTGTCGCTGTTGTGATGACCCCCTTGGATGTGGTCAGCACACGGCTGTACAATCAGCCCGTGGATAGTGCTGGCAAGGTGAGTAGGGGACAGGGCGGGGAGACTGGGGAGCCGGAAAGCCCCCCCCCCTCGTGCCCTGACTGATGAACGTGTGAGTCCCAGGCATGTGCTTTGGCATCTGGATTTTATTTTTTCCTGATGAAGAACTGAGGCTCAGAGAGCTCGTACGACTTGCCTGAGGTTACCCAGTGCGGGCACTGCCGGCCTCACACATGCGCCCAGGACAAAGGCCCACTGACCAAGCTAAGCCCCGACAGAGGGCTGTGCCTGCCCGCAGGATCCTCTCTCTAGACTCACACCCGTAGAGCTGCCTGTTCAGCATTTGCCTTCTCTGACACACCAGCACACGCCTGAACATACAGATATGCGTACTGGTCGTGCCGGCTGGGGCCTCCTGTGCCTTCCAGTGATACCCACACCGTGTCTGTCCCAGGGCCAGCTGTATGGGGGCCTCGCTGACTGCCTGGTGAAGATCTGCCAACAGGAGGGCCCCTCGGCACTTTACAAGGGGCTGGGCCCTGCCTACCTGCGCCTGGGCCCTCACACCGTCCTCAGCATGGTCTTCTGGGATGAGCTGCGAAGGCTGGCCAGGTGGCCGCAGCAGCGGGACACCTAGGCCCCAGCCCTCAGCCCCTCCTGACCGCCCTGCCCTTGGCCAGAGCGATGGCCCGAGACCCCTGGCCCAGGGCCGCACAGGTCCAGGGAGAGTGCAGCCCACTCCGCCCGATCCAGCCCCAAGGACTGGAGCATCCGCTCTGAACCACCCCACCCACCCCCTTCATCCTGGCCACCGTGCCCCAGCACCTGGCTTGTTCTCAGGGGAGCAGCTGCGGAGCCAGTATCGCCACGAGCCGAGCCTGCTTTGGCTCCCGGACTCTGTGACGCTGTGACAGGGAAGCCGCCACCCCAGGGAAGCTGAAGCCAGGAGAGGAGACGGTCCCGGCCAGAGCCACACAGCCTGAGGTGGTGGAGTCAGAACTTGAACTCAGCTCTGCCCACCCGGACCTGGGCTTTTGGCAAGAGCACTAGTATACCAGGACTGTGGGGCTGGGACACCCCGAGGGGTCTGTCCAGGTGAGGAGACGCTGGTGTCTCCCGTCTTGTTTCTAGGGCTGCTCTAATAGGGCGCCACACTGTCAAGGACTTAAACACTAGAAATTTATTTTCTCACATCTGCAGGCTGCAAGCTGGAGACTGAGGTGCTGGTAGGGCTTGGTCCTTTCCTCCCTGCCTCTCTCTGCTCCCCTCTTCTCCACACCCCCAATCTGAGATGCTGAGCGCGTGCTGGCCTATCGTCTACCCCTGAGCTGCACCTAGCCCGGGGCTACTTCCTCCTGAGACTTCTGATCTTAGCTCGTACAGGCCACCCCTCCTTGTGTCCCCCGTGGTGTCCTTCTGTGTATCCGGTGTCTGCGCCCTGATCTCCTCTTAGAAGGACACCAGCGTTGTCGGAGTCGGGCCCACCCCACCGACCCCACCTTAACCGAGAGGTGATTGCGCCTCCCTCCGTGTGCCTGGGGTCCTGGGGTGGAATCTGGGAGCACAATTCACCGACACCATCCGAAGGCCTTTGCCGAGGGCCTCCTGACGATTCCAAGAGAGAGCTCGGAGACACCACTGCTCAGAGGAGACGGACAGCCCCCTGGAGAGAGGCAGGGCAGAGCCCGAGCGGGGTGAGGCGGAGCCCGGCCTTTTCTCCAGAGACAGCCGCACTCTGCCTGGGTGCATCCGCCGGCCTGCACAGACCTCTGTACTGGACACAGTGCCGTGCCAAGGTGGACAGCCCGAGTCACAGCTGCGGACCCTGGCCGCTGCACCCCGCCACAGCGCGTGCCCTGCCACACACTCCAAATCAATAAAGTTTTTGATATTTTGGTTAGTTTGGCGACTCCCCTCCCTGAAGGTCTGTCCCCACCTCCACGCTGCCCCCCGCACCTGGGGAGGGAGCTGCGGGCCAGGCCCAAGCCGCCTGCCCCCTAGCGGTCACAGGAGGAATGGCCACGGGACAGACAGGCACCGGCGGGTCAGCCCAGACTGGACCCACATCTGGGCCAAAGCCAAAGCCTAGGGAGAGCGGATCAGACCTCACAAAGAAGGCCAGAGCCTGACCTGCCCGGCGAGGAGAGATGCCCCACTCCAAACCTTAGGCTCAGAGCACTGAGTCTACACTTCTGGCTGAGAGGGGCAGGCCCCTGCCCTGAGTCTGGCAGAACACAGGGACTGGGCTTCTGGGAGGCATTGTGGCTTCCAAGCCCTTTGGGAGAGTACGACAAGCAGATGCCAGGCCAGCAGGAACGGAGGGCAGAGACCCCTCTGCCACCCACAGGGGGAGCAGGGACAGCTGCCGGCCCTGGTGTCCCCGGGCCCCTGGAGTGGTGCCTGCCTCCCTGCAGGCCGGAAGGGTTAACACCCAGCCCCTCCCCTCCTCTCCTGGGCCTTTGACCCCTGCCAGCTCCTCCCTGCCTTCCACTGACACCTTTGCCCGTGATATCATCAGTGTGTGCAGACCTGGCCTGAGGCTGGGCCGGGTCCGGCTGCCATGTTCTCCCTGCTGACCCTCCCCTCCTGGCTCCCCGGCCTCCCCTGCCTGGAGTGGGGCTCCAGCCTCCTTGATGGCCTCCTGCGAGGTGAGCTCCACAGGCCCTCCCTCCCCAGGTATGAGCTGGGCCCCACCCACTTGGGCCTGGCCACCTGGCCGCCCCCAGCTCTGCCTCCCCGCCGCTCTCCTGATGCCCGGCCTCGGCCTCCTCCCTCGCCCTCCGTCCTCACAGGCCTGGTCGGGGCCTTCGGGGTCTCCGTTCTGAACAGCCTCCTGAAGGTTTACTTCTTCGTGGGCTGTGCCAAGTGAGTGCCCCCTGCCTGCCCCCTGCCTGCCCTCACCTCTGTTCAGCAGCTGAAGCTGCGTCCCTGCCCCTCTGCCCCACAGTGACCCCGAGCGGCGGGCAGAGACAGAGCAACTGCAGGCCCAGTGGGCCCTGCTGGAGACGGTGCAGCTGGCGGGCCTGGCCCTGTTCCTGACCGTCGTGGGGGCCCGGGTGGCGGCCCTGGTGGTGCTGGAGTTCTCCCTGCGGGCCGTGTCCACACTGCTGTCCATGCGCAAGGTGAGACTGTGGGCAGGTGGGTCGCTCCCCGCCCGGTCCTGGCACGGGGAAGCTGGCGCCTCTTCCCTCAGCTGAGATAAGGTTTCCGTCTGACCGCCAGTCCCCAGAAAACAACACAGCTCTGTGCAGAGCCTCCCGGAGCCAGGCCCTGCACAGGCTACTTTGAGGCGAGGTCTGTGGGGCTCTGGGCCACCTCCCTGCAGCTCTCAGATGGGCAGGGGATGGTGCCAGGGTCCCGTCAGGCCCCGGTGGCACAGCACAGCCAGCGCCCGCCACTCCCCGCAGGGCTCCCGGGGCCCC